TTTGCATTGTTGCCCACCTACCCACACACACTTTTTAGCGCATTTTCTCTATCCTACTTATGCCTTGCAATGCTAGAAGATTCCGTTCAAATCAGATCAGTAATTTCCACGTTTGGTGACGGATGCAGAACTCGCGGTGCAGTAGCACGGGTTATGCCATTTTGTAGATTCCATATGAACCAGTCACCAAAAATGGGCTAGAAATTACTCAAATGAACACTTCATAATGAAATGAATCGCATCCAAAATAAGATTTTACCAATCATGGAATTATTGCCCCCAAGATGGACTTTTTACCATCGTTATAACGAAGTCGTTAACCGTAAGACCACTTAAGTCACCCAAGATGTGAAAAAAAAATGTTCACCTTCAAACACACAAAGAAAATGTTCGTCATGAAACACACAAAGCATATGTTTGAATAGAATGGAATTCGCTGATTGGCTGAGGTTCAACCAAATAGGTGAAACAACTCACTAATATAAAGAAAGAAATCAATAAGTCATGCCAGAATCTAGATCATTCAGCCCGCCAGTAAAGCCTGCAATGTGCCAAACTGGCATCAAATTGCGAGTGTTTTGGGACGCAGGTGCCATTATTTACATTGGAGTTGCGTTCTGAAAGCAAGTTGCTTACTAGCGTTGAGTTTCGTGCGGACCTACACACCTAGCGGCGCAGCCATCTGGTGGTAGTTGGGGAATGGAGGGAGCACAGGGGCGTACCCTCTCGCTGGGCCCTGAATGGCCTTTGGGACCCTCGGCGCAGACTATCAAGGGCCCGATTCGAGAGCCTGGACAGCTGGCCGGGCGGCAATCTCGGAATGGAGGTCTGGTCCTCGAAGGTCAGTCAAAGCGACTCGTTGCACCTGTCGGGAGCCCCCGGGATGACAAGGGGGTCAATTTAGGTCCGAGACCACCAATGCTGAGCAGTTGAATCTGAGTCAGATTGGACACTGGGAGCCCATTTACGAAGCAGGGGCAAGGTTACTCTTGTTACTGAAGGCCCCGGCGTTGGCCGGGGCCACTGAAACAAGGTGGCTCTCTGCATCAAGGCGCAGAGTGTTTCACAGGTTAGTCTGTGTCGGAAAGCGGTTCCCAGTCGGCCAGAGGCACATTTTTGCTGAAGTGGAGCAGCACAGAACCCTGAATGCCAGAGCCACTTACGTTTCTCGAGGCCTTCTTGCCTCACACCGAAAGGGAATAAGAGAGATGAAAAGGAAATATTTCACAATGAGACAAAAGAACGGTTTGGCCTGTCACGGGCTCTGGCACCGAACGGGGCCCCTCAGGGCCGCTGGGCCCGGGCCCTAAAACGGACCCGGGCCCCGTTTGGGCCGAGGGCACGATATCCCTACCTGCGGCCCATACTGCGGTCCATACACGTGCTTGGGCGGCATGTTTTATTGTTGTCATAAATATTCTTTAAAACCTTTTTCATTCGAGGATTTTGAGATCAGAGCTCACACAAAACAGGATTGTTTGCGTGCTCTAAGACACCACTTTCCTGCTGTGAAATTACAATTCTGCGGGAGAACTTTATAAAAGAAATGGAATGCACAGCAACACTTGGCACAGTGCCCCTGCCCTCTCACTTTTCTGACACTGAACAGCAGCCAGGGGCGGATCCACGGGGCATGAGCCCATGCCCCCCCCCCCCCCTCCCTTGGACCCTGAAGGTGCCCACAGGCTCCAAGGGAGCTCCCATAGCCGGCCGAACTGACACAGTTTTTTTTGCACAGAACGCAACAAAACTGGGCGTCTCTGGGCCTCCAGGCGACCAATAACGGTCACAAGCGAAAGCGGATGGCCCACGAGTAGGCAAAAGCTATTCTTCACTGGTTGAGAGGGTGGTGATTGGGAGGCCTTAAAACTGCCTACACTGTCCAGAGGCCCTACACTATTCCCGGGGACCCTATACGTCCACTTGCAGGGTCAAACTGATCAGCAAGGAGCCTTCTACGTTGGGGCACCCATTGTCAATCAGGGACCTTCCACAGATTCTTTTCATTCGCTGGAAACGCTTTGTACGCTAGAGCCGGGCCCCATATATTGACATCTTGGTTGTTTCGGATGCCTTGGGAACCATCCGTTTATCATGGTAAATCTACCGGCACACTCACGATATGCTCACGGGCCCTCTACATTGGTCTAGGGCAGTTTCAATTTTCTGTTGCTTGCTTGGGGCCCTACGCTCTTGTCTGGAGCACTCTCGATCGGTCAGAGACCCTCCACGTAGTCTTCCCCTTTGCCCGAAAGGCTCTATGCGGATTTGTTTAGACCACATATGCCGGGGTACATTCACTTACTCAGGGGCCCTTCATATTGGTCTCGGGCTCTTTCCACTTGATCGGAGGGCCTTGTGCTGTTGCTGGAGCCGATATAAGGTAAGGCATTGAGCCGCTCGATGCTCAGGGGCCCTCTACTTTGATCTAGAGCCCTTTCCACTTGATCCTGTTTGCGGAGGATCCTTCACTCCCATTAGGGTCCTTTCCCTTAACCTGCCCGGGCACTCTTGATCGCAAAGGAGCATTTATTCACGCACACTGGTCTTTGGTGCGCACACGCCCACTGGCCCCTTAGTTGCTCAAAGAGCCCTATGTTCTGGCCGGGGTCCTATATTTCAGCTTGCCGGAGCTCTTTCGATCATCTAGGGACCTCTCACGCTGGTCTTGGGCTCTTCTCGCTTGCTTTGAGGACACCATCCTTGTTGACGGAAGCCTCTTTGTTGGCCCGCGGCAATGCATTTTTACGCGCCATCGTCGAACATAGTAATACGCGCCACAGACGTTATATGTAATATTGCGGTTGGCTATTGAATTTGTGACACCTATTATACTTGAGCATCACATTCTTGTCCATTTCATACAATGCATTTTAATGCTAGGATAATTCGTATTCATCATAACAAACAAAACAAAAACTCTGCACTAGTCATCAGCTATTATCTGATCACATCGACCTGCCGGATAACTGTAAATATGTTAGGAATCAAGTTCGTGTCTGATTTCAATGGTATTTAGCAGCCCGCCTTAGCTTATGTTGCCATTATTCCCAACAAACTTGGCCTCAGAGTGACAGGGTTCATCGTGACCTGGAGAAAATGGATATGCTCCATGTGTGTACACACGCACCACGCCTAGCTTTCTTGGGATACCCACAGTAAGATGTTCTTTCGTATAAAAATAGCATTTTAAAATCCTGAAATTTGATGACCGTACTTCGAGGATTTTTTGGGGGCGGGGGAGGGGCCCTACACTTTATGGGGACCCACAATGTGGCGTGCCCCTCCCCCCCCCCCCCCCCATGGCGAAATCCTGGATGCACCCAGACCATCCAATCAGAAGTCAAATAGCGAGCGTACATAGACGCAGCCAGGATAAAAAGGCAGAGCCCCCCCCCCCCCCCTCCCCGCCCCACCATCATCCCTACGTGACGAGCTTTCATTAGGATGCTCCCTTTCCGTGTTGCATTGTTATGGATGCGCCCTGTGAGCCCGTACATAGGACTTAGCCTCCATACCGTCACGGTTGGGTTGGAAAATGGGACCGCCAGAGGTCGATACCAATGAATTTACAGAGGACAAGCTGTGCTTTTGGTCGCGATTTGATTCCTTTTGGTGTCTGCTCATACCACAGGTGTCAATTTGCATTATTTTGTGAGTGTCCTGGCGTCCCCTCTCAATGTTGAGTTGCCCCCTCCCCTATGTTGGCTTGGCCCCCTAATGTTTTGGGCCGGAATACTACAAAAACATAGGTAAAAGATGATCATACACGAAGAATATTTTCTTGGTTCTCTCTGCGTAGTGGTGTCTCGCACCAGTCTCATAAGAAAAAGTCGTGGTTGCTTGTAGCGGTGGACCATGCCCCGGGACAGTGTGTCAGCATGTAAGGCGAGTGGGACGATGACTCATGTCTGAGTGAAGAGAACAATCACGGCTCGGGGCGGTGCGTGACGGTGGCGCCGGCCAGTTGCACGCAGATCGTGTTGCGGGTATGAGCCTTGGAAGCAGTATAAGAGGTGCTGCTCGGACGCGTGGGGTGGGTCTCTCCCTGTCGGCGTCGTGTGCGGCAGTTCACCGCTGCAGGTGGGGCAGTCCAACCGAGAATTCTTTTCATCATCGAATACATTGCTCTCAACACAAGGTACAAATCGTTACAGCTGAGCGGATAAACGATGCCATAAACGTCACGTACCCAGCGCCATAAGACACGCAATGGTTTGTGATGTAAAAGTGAAAAGCTCTGGGATATGGCGATGACCTAAGTCCTTTATGGCTAACCTCGTCCCCGTCCCCCACAACCAAAATGCGTGTCGCCTCCTATGACCGCCTTAGAACAGCGCCACCGGCGCCCTAAGGAGGCCTCTAAAGGGTCGCCTTGACGTGCCGACCAGACCAGATCCCCGCCACAGACCGCAGCTTGACGTGTGCGTTCAGTACCTACTCCCTGGATCCAATCCTACGTTTTTCTTTATTGCTTGGATTAAAGACTTATAAAGTATACAAATATTAGAAACACATATCGCGTTAATCAAAATAAAGTTGGTTAAATCCGGTGAAAAAATAATGGATGGGGTTAGGTTGTCGGGCCTTCGGCTCGCCCCCTGCCCCCCCCCCCCCCCGCAATAATTTACAAAGACCGACGCCCATGCCTAATGCCCTTGTATTTATTATTGGAGTTTTAGCCCTGATGTCTGGCATGTTCCCTATCCCGATGTAAACTGGTACCGTTGGTGATGAATCATCGTTTCTGGTACTAAGTTGAATGTTTCGGCTTTCAAATTTAGCTGGTGATCAGTTGGCGTACTTTGGTGTCGGTAGTGACCATTCTGGTTTTCATATTAATTCTGCATTGCCCGCGCCGTCCGCGCGGCAAGACACCGCGCGTCAACTGCGTCACGTGGGCGGACGGTCCGAATCGGGGCTTAGTGGGGGTGGGGGGTGGAGCGCGAGTTTGGTGTGGGTGGCCCGGAATATTAAGGGCATTGGTGTTTCTGATCATATCCCAGTTTTTTACGGACCCATCTGCGGGACAGGGTGCATAAGCAAAATTGTACGTGTGCATGGAGGTATAAGAGCAAAATTTGGTTGTGCACTAAGTTCAAGGAACCCATTTATGTACCGTGCGTGTCTCTAAGGGGCAAGATCTGTGGGACCATTTAATGGAACCAGGCATATTTAAAGTATGGACTGTTAAACACAGGTCATGGACCCAGGTCACCATCATGGGCACGTAATGGGAAAGGGCTTTCAGCCTCCATGGAAGTAATTTTCTATCTGGCATGAACAGTTGAGTGTAATGCAGGTGAGGTACAGCATCATGAAGGCCTATATTCATTGGCATTGCACCAGGTCTTGTAGGTATTGAAACCAACTGGTCCTAGATGTGTAGTGTGCGTCTAGCAGTGTGTTGTGCCATCAATATTTGAATACCCCTATTCATGTATATTTGGGACATTTGAATACTGGTGGATGGACTTGATCATTGGTGTTTGGCTCTCGCAGACATATGCTTTGTCCATGCATATTTAATCACGATATAAAGATTATGTTGAACAAAAAGGCATCAGTACCCTCATGGGGCATCGGGCTCTGGCATGTCCAAAAACAATGACATTTCAGGATCAGTGTTGATAGGGTGGTCCAGGCCCACCTTGTTTATGCTGCTTTGTTTTAAATGTGGAGCTTCTGCCAGCCAATTGGACCCTGTTCATGCCCTATAGCGGTCAGGTTGTACTTTCCTACCTAACGTTAGAAAAAATCATTGTACACCATTCGTTGTGTTTAAGGCAGGAAATATCATAAATAATCTCAAAACAGGTAGAATCATGTTCCTACCTTCGAATTTCAATAACTTCGATGGCGGGCCCCCGAGCGCCGCGCGCACCGCACCGCCTGGACTCCCCAGCGCCGTTTCTGCGTTGCCATTGCGTAAATACAATATTTCTGCTTACCAAGAGTTTTTAATAATTATTTCAATTTTTTTTATAATAATTTATTTATATTATATATAATAATAATTTTGTAATAATTTTTGATAATAATTTTTTTATATGATATATAATAATAATTTGTATAATATTTTTTTATAATAGTTAATTTATTTATAATAATTTCAATTCTTTTATAACTACGATGGTGAGCTCCCGAGCGCCGCACACACACAGCACCCGCGACACCGGCGCCATTACTGCTCGGGTCACAACATTACTGCGCATCAAGCAGCATCAAGAACCATAAAAATGTACCGGGCCAAGATAAGAATCCATGAAATTTGATCCTCGACGCCAACGGGACCATGGGTTGCAGGGGGATTGGGTGGGGAATGTAAAGCAAAATGAGAACATGGCAGCTAAATAAAAGCTCACTTTATGGCAGCTATATATGGCATGGAACATGGATGCCAATGGGATGCTGGGTTGAAGGGGATATAGGGTGGGGAGGTTAGGTTGGGTTAGGTTAGGTTAGGTTAGGTTAGGTTAGGTTGTTAGGTTAGGTTAGGTTAGGTTAGGTTAGCTTAGGTTAGCTTAGCTTAGGCTCTGGTCTACTCTAGGTTAGGTTAGGTTAGGTTAGGTGAGGTGAGGTGAGGTTAGTTTAGTTTAGTTTAGTTAGGTTAGGTTAGGTTAGGTTAGCTTGGTTCTGGCCTATTCTGATCTTTCTGGTCTGCCTGTTTCATAAACTTGCCTACACGCGATACTGGCGTTGGACAGCGTGAAGAAAGTCTGCCCACAGCCGCGTCTTGTAGCGTTCCCTCCACATGAACTCATCGAGATAACCTGAGATTAATTCCAGGCTCGTGGCATGTCGCTTGCGAAGGAAGCGCTTTACTCGGCCGAAGTAGGCTTCGACGTGGTTGGTGTGTTTGCCGTCGTCCGCTACAAATGTTTGGGTATGGTTTACTGTGCGGTGAATGTAGCCGAGGCTTTCGAGCGAGCCGTAGCTTCGGTGCTCATCGGTGTTTACCCCGCTACCTTGCTCCACATGTTTTTGAATTTTCGGTGTCATCTCTCCCATTGACCTATTTTGAATGAACTCGAGAACTCCAACTTTGTTTTCCGGGTCGTAAATGCCCATTATCCAACATGTTTCCCCAGGGACCCGTCGCCTACGATTATATTTTCGCCTTGATAGGGCTGTTTCGTCGACAATTATGGTTTTTCCCGGTCCCCCCAACTTTGACACGTTTGGGCCGCGCATTAGATCCTTAGACATCACGTCTCGATAGAACTGAAGCCAGTCCACTACCATCTTTTTACTGGGAGTGGTGCCGATTAAGTCCTTCATGGCACTTCCATTTACGCCGACCACAACGTACGCGTAGGCCATCTCTAGTATGACAAACGGTCTGAGGTGTGAACCGGCGAAAAAGCTGCCGTCTACAACACGCTTGATTTTTCGGCACTTGGTACAGCGCCAAGCCTTGCCAAACACTATGTCTTGACCAAACGCTCCTTCCACCATGCGCCTTCTTGCACAGCACATTTTTCCTACTTTTCTTATGAGACCGTTTTCGCGGAGAAGTCTCAAAAGGTCATCTGGGTCCTCGGTCTCGAAATCCAGTTTTAACAAGTCCCTAAACGATTTCACTTCGTGCAACTCCATCTTCAGCTCTCGTGCAATACCGCTCGACTGCTTGGATACGCAGTAAATATATTTCATTGCATTATTATTGTTACCTTGGTCCCCGCACATTTCTATGGTTCTTGATAAGCAGAAATGTCGTCATCACGCACCAATAGCGTGGCAGTCACGCTGGGGTCGAGGTTGCCGCGTGTTTGCGGCGCTCGGGGGCTCGCCATCGAGGTTATCAAAATTCGAAGGTAGGAGCATGATTCTACCTGTTTTGAGATTATTTACGATATGTATTGCGGTAAACACGGCGAATGGTGTACAATGATTTTTTCCAACGTTAGGTAGGAAAGTACACCTACACCTCTATAGCTCTTCAGGGCATGTCAGTTCCAGGAATTTTCTGCATCCAGTTCAGGTTCTATGCATGGGCCTGCCAGTGATTCAGGCTGCAAGTGGACTGTTATGAGTCATTTATAGCTAGGTGGGGCATGGGCAAGGGTTGGAGGGTGGAGCAGTGGCAATGCCAAGCAAACTGTCCAACTTAAGATTGTTTTTGCAGATATTTGTATGTATTTGTTGCTGCTTTAACAGCAGAAGGGCGTGTACATGATGTAAATCCCTTTGTGCTTAGCAACTCACTTGTTAATGAGCATGGTGGACAATTACATGCATCAGTGATTTTACTTTTTATTGCAATTGATATATTCACCAGTGTGTTTGTTTGGCTCACCTGTCCACCTCCTTGTTGCAAGTAGGAGCAAAATTACAGCACACCCAGGAGGCATCTTGGGCTATAGTGGAAACTGTTTTGTCATGTGTACTATTCACCTTAAGATGTCAGCTTTCATTTTGATGGTTGGTAAGATTCAAAGTGGTCAAGGAAATTCAAGCAGGGTATGCTTTGTATATCAGCATTGTGCCAACTGTGTAGCAAAGCTGAGTTGCTGACCCAGCTGCAGCAGCTGATGGCAGGCAGCAGTGGGTGGCTGCCACCTGTTGTGTTTACGAAATCGCGCCATGTGGCGGTGCCGGCATGCTGCCCTGCCAGAACTACCCTGGCTGACAGCCTGAGTAGTGCGAAGCAGCTTGTGCTGTTTGCACGGCGACGGTCGGCGCGGACGACTGAGCAGACGACACGTTCTGGCGCCGCATCACCAGGTGGGTCCTCGCGGCCTAGTGCCGGAGATGGTGGAGAGCACCAACGACGGCGACAGTCACGGTCGCTGTGTGTGAATAGAGTCGCTACTCCAGTCAACCTTTATTTGTCTCTGTCAGGATGGTGACGGAAAGTTGGACGCTTCTGGTGTGCATGACCTCATTTGCTATGTTTCCACTGGTCTGTGCACAGCAAATCACCTCAGATTATGGCGTGAGTTTGTAGAGTGTTGTAAACTTTCTGGCTCCATCCCAGTATCGCCACGTTTGGCTAAGGGTGTACAAAGGGCAGTGTGTTGTAAGGAAACCTGTGATGCTGGCAGGCAGTGTGAGAAAGTCTTTTTAAAAAATCATGGTCATGGAGGACAAATTTTCAAACTTCGAGTACAAAATTTGTCAAGGCTGTGAGTCATTACACCGCTACTTCGCTTATGATTGGGAGATTACCCAACAATGGGTCATTGGGTGGTACTCAATGGAAATGCCGTGTTTCGTACGCGGCAATTTATGTAAAGTCCCTCCGAGTTGTGTGACTGTACAACCTTTACTAACACTGTGAATGAGTGGTTGTAGCTTATTGCGTGGTTGTAGCGGGCTGCCATTAGCTGACTTTGGCTATGACTACTTTAAGCCCTCTCATATGGGATTTGTCCTTGCCTATTGCATAACACAAAGCTTGCTGAAGCTGTTATCGGCGCAAAATGGCCACAGTAGTCGGCGTGCCCCAAAGCCCCAATCGACAACAAAAGCTTGCTGAATCTGCACCATCTCTTCCCCCGTTTCTCTGGGCGCGTTTCATTTTAACTATCGTACTACCAATAGTCGAAATCCTGTTCTATGATTGGTCGGCCGGCCATGATGGATTCGTGACGTGAAGGGTGTGACGTCACACTTGTCGGCTACTGGACTGGCAAAACCTTTTAACATCTCGGTAGTCGGCGGGGCATCCACAAATATGGCGGCGCGCGGGGCAGGCGACATGGCGTTAGTGCTTTGGATCTTTTAGTTAATGTGGGGGCTACTAGGGATTTAGCGGGACATTATTTCTTTAAGCTTGTGTCTTGATGATAACCTGTCTCTGGATGACTCCTGTTCTCATTGTAACATTTCACTTGGAAGCAGTTTCAGTCACTGCTGTAAGGACTTTTGGAATGCACATAGGTCACAAAAATGTTGTATTTCCTGCCAGCAAAAAATACTTTATTCGTCAAACGTAAATGCTTCCATTCCCGTGTATGTTTTTGAGGTATGGATGACAAGCACACAAGATCTTTCCCGTTACTTATACCTTCATCTAACAGCTTTTTGACCGCGGTCGCGCTGCCGCCCACTCAAACTTATTTTTCTTCCCAAATTTGATGGTCACAACTGCGCAGCTAATGTAATGCTCTCCAGTAGTCAGTAGCTGGTATGAAGCAGCCTAGCATCCGAGTGGGCGGGGCTTGTGTTCGTCTACCAATAACACAGTAGTTGAAATGAAACGCGGCCTCTGTGTTTGTTTCCTCTTCCTAGCTGGGAGTGCCGCGACTTGATGTTATGTTTTCTGCTGTGGGCGTACGGCTTATTGCGTCGCTGGGATAGAGGAAGGACATTCCTGGTTACCTGTTCTTGGGTAACGGTAAAGAAAAAATGACCAAAAATGAATGTAGCCTAACTGAGCTTAAAGGAAACGTTCCACATTTGTATTGCATTTTGAACTGAATTAGCCATCTTGAGAACCTTTTGATGCAGTTCACGGTCATGTCCTTTAAGACCCAAAACGATCTGGTTCCTGAGTTACACGCCCGCAAAAGTGCGAAAAGGTTTATTTGGAGCCTGTTCCAAGGTTGCCTCGGCATTAATGACGTCATAGAAACGTCACAGGGTGAGAAATTTAGTTTTTTGGCTGGCGGCGGATTATGAAAATTTTCGCGTTCGGAGTACAAACTTGCCTGCAGGCAGAGGTCTGTCTAATTTGGTATGAGTGTCTACACAATGGGCCTTGGTCGGAGTACATTACACACCGCCTGTAATGGGTCAACATTTTCCAAGTGTTTTTTCTGGCCAAAAAAATTAGTGTCAGCACGCAATTTTGCATTTCAGTGGAACAGAGCACTTCTTGTGAGTGTGGGGCGCCACGTTGATCCCATCCATATCCCCGTAGTGTTACTAGTTCGCCTATACACGCGGAGTGATACACATAGCTCGCCTATACACTGCGTGTGACTCACCTACCAATATCGTCCACCCTGATGCAAGCTGGGATAAATAAAGAATGGTGCATCCTTCAGTGCATGTATGACACAACAGTACACCTATCAATGCCAATGAATCGCATTGAGTGGAGCAGGCACCACTCTTTCCGCACGCCGCGCTTCGGCAAGATTTACAGGTTCTTCTAGACACGGTTGGTTATCCAGCGCCAGCTGGCTTATTTTCCTGGGGCTTTTCGAATTGGCAATATAGAAGTATTCCTCAATGGGTTACGTCCCAAATCTTCCGTCTAAATAAAAATGATAATATTTTCACAGGCTATGGTTTTTGACCACCACTCTGCTCCACTCACAAGTAATCTATCTTGTTCTTTTCAAGCCATGAGACTGTTCAGATTCATTGAATAGGGGACGGCTTGAGTATACGGAAGTGTGTCTTAAATTCGGGCCAATGCTCATGTACGTGATAGCCAGTTTGACACGAAATACTGACATACTAAGCTTGCAAGCCAGCCAAAAGTCCACCTACGCCGACGAAAAAGTTTTGCATCATTATAGTTATCAGCAAAACATCATCCTTACCATAGTGTTATAGTTATGCTTGGTAGCGCATCAGGCAGGAGTGGGCCTTATTTTCTACCCTTCATCCCCAACCCCAAAGGGTTTGAGGCTTGTATGGGAGGTAGTCCATTCACCCGCCCATCTTCGCGGGGAAAACTGGGCAAAACCCTAAGGGAACAATAAGATTTCGTGCATCTCGGGACAGCTGCGGTATTTATCTGTCCCATCCTCAAATGGTATCGCGAAATTGCGCCCCTGACAACAGGTGTATTGCGTGCGATGTACTAACTTGGGACGAGAGAGGGCCAAGTGAACATGGCACCCCACTTTGTTTACATATAGCCGACGTTCTGGGGTTGCGAAATATGAAACCTTTCTTACCAAAATGTGGCACGTGCCAGTGAATCTGCATTGGCCTTTGCTCTAGTTGAGATGTACCATCTGGAGCACACGGATCGTATGAAGCGTAACTACGTATGCAATTGGATATGAAGTGAGAAGTGAAGAGGCCAGCACCACATCCACTCATTTTGGCATTTACTTGATAACTTCACATTGATGTCTTCACAAGTTTATTTTATTTCATCACAATGCTGCCGATGTAGCATTAACGTATGATCAACTTCACTTACAAGCGAACAAGGGGTAAATGTACGTAGGCACTGATTTACTTGCATGGAAGTCAGCAAAAGATGATGCCATCTCCAGATGATGCGAATTCGCTGGGGCCTCCAGCAAAAAATCGCTTACATTTTGTTGTATTTTAGCATCGTGATGGCTCCTATCATGACACCGCAGAAAAACGGCGTAGCGGGCAAGCTCTATCATGTTCACACCACGCAGTCAGCTCGCCCAACGTGTGGGCACCGACATATCAGCGCACCGGTCCGGCGCGCTGCTCGGCGGAACAAAGCCATCGAGTACAGCAACCGGTAGCGCTGACGGCAGGAATCACGTGTTTCTCGCGCAGAGGTGGCCAGTATGGCACAGGTACGTCGGTTCCAGCAACTCCAGCAGCGAGCGCCGTCACGTGACGCACGTCGAGAGTACGGGGGTCTTCGGGAACAGGACGTCCCGAGGATTCATACACGGTGGTAAAGCGGCGGGTACAGGCGCCAGCTGCTCCTCCTGAATACGGCATACCGGCCACCACGGTAACATATACGAAACATGCATAACGGGAGCAGTGACTGACATCACCGCACAAGACCGTCATGAATTTGGGCTGTTGCAGTGGTAGGCAGCTGTTTTAACAGCACGTCCGTTGCCGGCACAGTCCGCTACGGCCACGACACAGTCTGCGGTGAAAAGTTACCGACAAATGCCGGAAGAGCCGTGGATAAGGCTCGGGTGCACCGGTCGGTACCGCAAGTGAAGCGGCCAGTGGTCCCGGACCGTGATGTTTATGGAGCGCTTCAGGTTGATGCACCAGTCGTCGTCGCCATGGGGTCCATTACATCGTGTTAAGTATTGTCATCCGAAAGATTGGTGGAATGTACGATTTGAATGCCTCTACAGCTTTGTGTCTAACACCTAGCGAGCGGCTGATGACGGGGCCATTCAGCTCGTTCCAGCTCAAACTGACGGACGTTTTGCAATCCTCAGATCTTGCTCTGTCTTTCTCCCAATGCACGTTAGGTTTCGTCGTTACGAAACCCGCGGAAATGCTTCCTTATCGCATACGCTACGGCCGTCACCGACGTCGGAGCGGCGTGAAATGGTGTCGTGGAATGTCACGAAGGCTGCGCTCGTGGCGTGCACAAATGGCACCACGATCAGTGCAACCGTTTGCGCTGTGCGTCTCGCCAATAAATCCGGACACAGAGACACACCCACACCACTAAGCTAGTTGTTAACATGCGTACGAACTGGCGCTTTTTTAACAGTGTCGGGTTACACTCTTTAGAGGTATGCGGCTCGCTGTCGACGCGATATTTCAGAGAACGGGGCTGTAGAACCGCTGTAGGCTGCGTAACGCCGATACACTGCTCTCGAACTTGACCAATCTTCCTCCACCTCCTCCACTACGGGAAAATGGCACTTCCCAATACGAAAACCAAATGCATCTAAAAAAACGTCATTCTGCATTTATTCCTTTGGGTCAAACATCCCACTCACTTAATCACTCAACACACATATCAATCAACCAATCACAAAACATCTAAAACATCAGTCGGAACACCCACTCAGCTACTCACACACCACTATCACACCTAACCCGGATACACATACACTCCAGCACTCTCAAAG